TTACACTATATTGTAGTCTTTTAAGTGTGCAAAAGCATTATGTCTAGAAAATGTACATACATTAATTTTAAAATAGTTTATTGCTAAGTCATAGCAGTAACATCAAAGATCACTGATCACAGATCATGATAATAAGTATGATAATAATGAAAAGTTTGAAATATTGCAAGAATTACCAAAATGTGACACAGAGACATGAGGTGAGACAATGCTGTTGGAAAAATGACACCAGTAGACTTGCTTGACACAGGATTGCCAAAAAACTTCATTTTGTGGAGAAAAAAAAAAAGGCAACATATGTGATGCACAGTAAAGCAAGCTGAGGTGTGCCTGTGCTCCTCAATCTGACTCAGTTAGCAAGTGCTCTGTGGTGATTAGTTTGATGTGTCAGTTTGGGTAGACTACGGTACCCAGTTATTTAACCAAACACTAATCTAGGTGTTTCTGTGAAGGCATTTGGTGGATGTGTTTAACATCTACAATAGCTGACTTTAAGTAAAGGAGATGACCTGCAATAATGTGGGTGGACCTCATCCAGTCAGTTGAAGGCCTTAAGAGCAAAACTGAGGTTTCAAAGAAGAAATCCTGCTTCAAGACTGTAACAAGAACTTCTGCCTGGGTTTCCAGCCTGCTGCCAGCTCCACAGATTTAGGACTTTCCAGAATCCCACAATTTGCCAGTCCTTAAAATCCGTGTGTGTATGTCTGTGAGTGTTCCATTTCCCTAAAGTACCCTTGCTGGCACACGCATATAAAGAAACTACTAGGTGTTCAGTGACATGCTGAGTAATGTACTGTGAGAAATAAAGGACACATAAGATGTGGTTCATTCCTCCTAAAAAGTTTATAACTCATGGGGGAACCAAAACTAACTGTGGCTGAAGTAATAGTAAATTGTTAAAAATAATAAAAATAAGATTTAGGTGTACTGTGTAGATGCTCAGGAGTTCAACACAAAGAAAGATCAGTGAGAACTGGAGGGGTCAGGGAACAGTTTATGGAAAAAGTGAGAATTGAGCTGGCCCTGGGGAGATGTGAGGATTTGGACAGGTATGAGCGAGATCAGAAGGCGCCTAGGCAAGACAAGACAAGCACATAGGTGAAGGCACAGAGGCAGGCATCAGTGCAGTCTGGTGACAGGACCAGGAGGAGGACAGCCTGACTGGGACAGGATACATTTGAAAAATACAGAAAGCAAGGTCGGAGAGGTAATTTGAGATGGATTTTGGATAAACCTTGGGAAGATATTTAGGCCTTAATGTGATAGAAAGAGATCCTAGAATTTAGAGAGAAAGATAATTTTTAGGTTGACTTAAATTCAAGTACCTTGCCCAAGCACCCATGGCTAGTTAGTGACAGAGCCAGAGAACCAGATTTCTTTTTTCAATTGAGGCGTAATTGACATACAATATTATATGAGCACCAGGTATACAACATAGTGATTTGATGTTTGTCAAGTCAAAATGATCACCACGATGAATCTAGTTAACATCTGTCACCATGCAAAGTTAATGCAATGTCATTGACTATGTTCCCCACGCTGCCCTTTACATCCCCAAGACATTTATTTCATAACTGGAAGTTTGAACTTCTTGATCCCCTTCACTAATTTTGCCCCCACCCCAAAACTCTCTGGCAACATGTTTCATCAATGTCTTATGGTCTTCAGTGCATAGGTCTCTCACCTCCTTGGTTAAATTTATTTCTAGGTATTTTATTCCTTTTGATGCATGGTAAATAAAATTGTAAGTGAAACCGATTTCTTGATTTCTGATTCTGATAGTTTATTATCAGTGTGTAGAAACACGGTAGAGTTTTGTGCATTAATTTTTTATCCTGCAACTTTACTGAATTCATTTATTTGTTATAACAGTTTTTTGGTGGAGTCTTTAAGGTTTCCTCGCTATAGTATCAGGTTATCTGCAAAGAGTGACACTTTTACTTCTTCCTTTCATATTTGGATGCCTTTTATTTCTTTTTCTTGCCTAAATGCTCTGGCTAGGATGTCCAATACTATGTTACATAAAAGTGGCAATAGGGGCATCTTTGTCTTGTTCCTGATCTTAGAGGAAAAGCTTTCAGCTTTACAACACTTGAGTATCGAGTTAGTTGTGGGTCTGTTATATATGGCCTCTATTACGTTGAAGTACACTCCCTCTATGTCCACTTTATTGAGAGTTTTTTTGATCATAATTGGATGTTGAATTTTGTCAAAAGCTTTTTCTGCTTTCTATTGAGATGATCATATGATATTTATTCTTCAATTTGTTAATGTGGTGTGTCACATTGGTTGATTTGCAGATATTGGACCATCCGTGCATCCCTTGGATAAGTCCCACTTGATCATGGTATATGGTCTTTTCTACATTATTACATTCAGTTTGCTAATCTTCTGTTGAGAATTTTTGGATATATGTTCATCAAGGACATTGGCTTGAAGTTAGGGAACAAAGCCATGTAAATAGCTGGGAAAGTGTCTGGAAATAACCAGAGAGGAGAGCATGGAGCTCCTTTTTGGGTGCCCTTACCTGCTCTGGCAGGTGACTGGCAGGAGCATGAGATGGAGAGGCAGAGCAGTTTGAAGGTGTGGGGAAGGAGACAGGCTGAAACTGCCAGTAGCCTCTGCCGGATGAACATGCATTTTGGATGAATGGAGATCATGCCGGGCAGAGGAGCTGCAGAAGGCAGACAGTAAGGATGGGACGTGATCTCCGTCTTTCTCCAATAGAGATTGTACCCAGGGTACAATCCTTACCTGGTTCCCCATCTACCTCCAGAAAAAGAGCTGGCCCTTCCGAGTGCCCACTTCATCAAGGCTACCATTTTGCCAACTCCATGAGAAATCTTTGGTTCATTTTTTTAAATAAAAAAAAATTGAAGTATAGTCAGCTACAATGTGTCAATTTTTGGTGTACAGCATAATGTCCCAGTCAGGAACATACATACATATATTCGTTTCCATATTCTTTTTCATTAAAGATTATTACAAGACACTGAATATAGTTCCCCATGCTATAACAGAAGAAATATGTTTTTTTAATATATAGTGGTTAACCTTTGCAAATCTCAAACTCCAAATTTATCCTTTCCCACTCCCTTACCCCCGGTAACCATAAAATTGTTTACTGTGTCTGCAAGTCTATATCTTTTGTAGGTGAGTTCATTAGTGTCCTCTTTTTTCTTTCTTTCTTTTTTTAGATTCCACATATGAGTGATATGATATGGTATTTTTCTTTCTCTTTCTGACTTTTAGTCTTTATTAATCCAGTTCATTAGCAAGTCCTGCTGCCTTGTTCCTCTCTTGATATTTAGCCATTCTACCTTTCTTTTCATACCATCACAGTCTGAGAACAGACACAGGTGATTTCCCAGGGGAATCGTCTTCCTCCTCAGACATCTTCCCTCTAAATCTATTACCCTCCTCCACTGACCCTTGCCACCCCAGCCAGAATTATCTTCCCCTGTTGGTATTGTTTTTATTGAACCATCATTTTTATTTTACTTTTCGTACCCTTCTTGGGCTGGGATTCTAACAGTTTTCCACATCACCAAAGATAGAGCCAAGGGGTTGATCCTTTGTATCAGAGACCAGGGAGCTCTACCTTCACCTTTCCATTGTGTCCCTCCCCCTAGGCCTGACCTTCTTCTTGCCCCAAACCTGTTCCCAGGCGGTAGCACCTGCTCAGCCAGGCCATCTGGGAAGACTTGCTGAATGGAGCCAAGACAGGCAGAGGCCTCCCTGGCTCCATCTGGTCATGGAATTCCCACCACTCCCTATATCTTCTTGGCACCTCATTTATGTGCTCGTCCTGATCTGTCACTCCCACTCCTGGCATATAAATATGATGTTACAGGATCACAGGGCTAAGGACAGTGAGGGTCTGTGGCTTTGGTTTGTCAGCTCTAAGGATGGCTCCCACTTTACGCAGCTGCTTAGGTCCTTGGTCTAAAAATATAGGGAGGACGAAGCGTCCCTGAAACCATGAAAGCTCAAGCACAATGATGTGCTCACAGCTTTAAAAACAACAGCAAAAAAAAAAAGCAGCATTTCCACGTTGATGTCTCATTAAAAGGCAACAGCAGGGCAAACTTAGGTATTACTGCAAATACGTGCTGTGAATCTACCAACTCTGAGTGGGTTGAAGTTCAGAAAAATGCACTCCCACTCCAAACCCCAAATCCCTATTCTCATCACAAAACAGCAAAGTCATGGGCCAGGAACTGTGATTTTAGCCTTTCTCTGAAAGCTCTCCTCCTGGCTCCTGACCCAGCTTGGAGAGCACCCTCTGGCCGCATTTTTCAGAGGAATGAACACCCCCAGCCTGTGAGCTAACTTGGCTGAAACATCACCCTGGAGACTCAGAACTGGCTTCAGAAGAATAGGAGGGGCAGAAGACCAGGGAAGAACAGAGACAGGGCGGGAAGCTTCTCTGGCTGATGACTGCTGTTGGATGTCCAGCTCGGGGGAAGGAAGTCTTCAACAGCAGAGAGCAGGAAGAAGAAACGGAGAGCTGGCCACTCTCTGAGAGTGGGTGACCAGGAGCCCCCAGCTTCCCCACAGGCACTGCCTGTGTGCTGTTTCTGGGCTCCCGTCTCTGTCCCCCTGCTCCACCCTCTCTCCAGCAGGCGTACACAGCCTACAGTCAGAGCAGTTGATGCTATCCTGGGCAAACTGTAAAGGCAACTGAGAAGGCTTTAAAAAACAAATCCCAGTGATCTATTTGGGAGAAATCTGCTGGTGAAATAAAAAGGCAACGTTTTGAATAGCACCGCCAGCCCTGATGGCAGTGCGCGCTGCAAGTGAAACAAACTCTTCAGTCCTGAGCTTCTCTATCGGGAAAACAGTGAGGAAATGTCTGTCTCGCCTTTGTTTGCGGGAAATTTCATGAGCACTCCCGTCTTTGCAGCTTTCATTCTGTACTCCTAGTCAAACACAAGTCCTGAACCACACACTAGAGGTCGCTGTTCATTACAATCTAGCCTCACCTCTGAGCCGGGCGGGGGAAGGCCTCCTGTCTTCGTGGTCTTCTCTGCAGGGGGAGTAACCTGCAGGCTCTGGGGGCAGGAAAATCTGCTTGGTTACACCCAGGCCAGATATGTCCGGATGCAGGGGCCTGCAAGTACGTTGCCCTTCATTACATAAACAGAAGTACAAAAAGAAGAAAAAGCAAATTATCAAAAGTGCTTCAAATTAATTAGAATTTTTTAAAAATACTGCATAATTTGTGACGTTTAATACTCCTGGGCCTTTCCAACTGCCCAGGGGTATCACTTCTTTTCAGGTGACCCACCATGTACTGCAAGAAGAACCTGAGTACAAACCAGGGTTTAAACACGGACTATACCTGCAGCTAGCCACCACTACTGACGCCATGGGGCTGGGATCCTTCCCAGCTGGTTCTGCGCCCAGAATGTAAAACAGCTAAGACATAAAATGACAAGACAACAAAGCAGATAGCACGGTAAGCAGTTACAGCCTCTCTCGATGCTGAGATTTTTAGAGCTGCTACTCGAAGAGCAACACTGTTCTAATCAAAGACCATTGTCAGTGAACCAGAGCGCAGCCTGGCTGCCTCCTGTTATTCCTTTCCTAATTCTCCTATTTATGTCCACCTGTCCCCTCTTTAGTCCTAAATTGTAAGTTGCAATTCACTCAACACAGACCAATCCCAAAGGCGGCAGAGGCCGGAGCTGACATAAAAGTCAGTGGAATGACTGCTTCCAGACAAGGCGTGAAGCGTTGATGTAGTGTTTGCTGCATTTCCATATCTGTTCTTTACTCTAGATCCAGAGCAGAATCTAGATGGTGACGCAGCATCGTTACACCTGCAGGCACGGCTACAAGACAACGTGTAATGCAGCATTAAGACCATAGCCCAGACTCCAACTCTTGGGGAAATTCCCAAAAGATAAGAGTGCAGAGCAGCAGTGAAGACAGCCCTGGTGTTCTTGGTGAAGAGTGGGGCTTAGACCCTCCGGCCTGTGGGTGGTTGGGAGCACGAGGGGCTGGGGAGCGGCACAGCAGGGGACAGGGAAGTACACAGGAGGGAGCCTGGCTTCTGTGAGGAGACGCCCGCCTGCAACCCAGGTGGGGCTTGTCCCAGGCTGGGGTGCTGTTGCTGAGTTGGGAAGGAAGAAGGAATGACAGCACCAGAGCAGGAGGGACGTGATATGCACACTGTCAGAGAGGAGTTTGGCTGTGCACTTTTGCTATAGTGGCAAAATACACGTAACAAAAAATTTACCATTTTAATCATGTTTAAGTGTACAATTCAGTGTCATTAGTATATCCACATTGTTGTGCAACCATCACCACTATCAACTCCAGAACTTTTTCATCATCTCAAACTGAAACTCTGTACTCCCCATCCCCTTCCCTACCACCGGTCCCGATACCCTATAATCTACTTCTTGTCTCCATGAATTCGCCTACTCGGGTACCACATATAAGTGGAATCATACAACATTTGTCCTTTTGTGTCTGGCTTATTTCATGTAGCACAATGTCTTCAAGGTCCATCCATGTTATCGTACGTGTCAGAACTTCAATCCCTTTTAAGGCTTTTAAAAAATATTCCATTGTGTGTATACTACATTGTGTTTAGCTTTTCATCTGTCGATGGACATTTTTGGCTATTGTGAGCAATGCCACTATGAACACTGGTCTACAAGTATCCATCTGGGTCCCTGCTTTCAGTTCTTTTGTGTATATACCTAGGAGTGGAATGGCTGTATCAATATGGTAATTCTATGTTTACCTTTTTGAAGAACTACCAAACTGGTTACCACGGTGTCTACACCATTTTATATTCCCACCAGCAAAGCACAAGGATTCCACATCCTCATCAACATTTGTAATTTTTCTGCAGATTTTTGATGATGGCCATTCTAACTGGTATAAACTGGTATCTCCTTGTCATTTTGATTTGCATTTTCCTAAAGATGTTGAACATCTTTTCATGTGCTTATTGGCCATTTGTATCTCTGGTGAAATGTCTACTCAAGTCCTTTGCCCGTTTTTGGATGAGTTACACTTTAGAGGCAGTTTGATGTTTCAGTTTTGGCTTGGCCACTTCCTGCATTGGTGACCCTGAACTACTTACATAACGTCTCTGTGCCTCAGTTGCTTCCTCTGCGAGGTAGAAAAAATAGCATTTACCCCATAGGATTGTATGAGGATTGAGTGTGTTCGTATCTGTTAAAAGCTGTGAATAGTGCCATAGCAGACACTCAGGTTAGATTTAGTATTGCATGAGGTGGCTTGGAGAGGGGAGAGACCGAGTGTGGGGGAGTAGTCAGGAGACGGCGTCCTGCCATCACTTGGCGGGAAGGGCCTCCACCATTTCCTAGTGTAGCCTCTTTATATAGCAGGAAAGGAGAGAGACAAAAGTGAAGCCCCAGAGCCCAGCGGCAAGAGGGGTCCTTGGAGCCACCTCCTCAGAGTCCAAGTCCAGGAATTCTTCTACCCAGCTTTCTCTCTCTGACTTGGCTTCAGCCTGCAGCATTGGTTAATGTTCTCACAGGATATGATGTGAATCCCTTCAGCAGCCCCCTGATGTCCTCTTCTTGGCATCACAAACTTGCATCAGTGGGCCTGCAAAAGCCATCAGTTCAGAGGATCGGAAGGGGAGCTGGCATGAGCAAGAGGCAGTGTTGCCTCCAGAATTCCCTTTTGGAGAAAGGAACCCCAGGCTCTGCCAGTGCTCCGGGTGCTCTGGCTTTCAGACGGCACCACAATCCTTGATGACCTGTTCCCACAGTTCCCTCTGACGTCCTCCATGTGTGGCAGAGGCCAGTTAGAGTGGAAGACCAGGGACCATGGGACCCTGGGACCACAAAAAAGCCAGAGAGTATAGGCAGCCTCACTCACTTCAGATGATGGCCTGACTGAACTGAGCCCTGCTTAACTTTGTGTAACTGATTACTCTGTGCCCGCCAGCAAGCGTGAAGAGGTTAACTGCCTCCCAGCCCCCTTGGTGGCAGGTGACAACAGAAATTGCTGGATTAATGACCAGAAAATGAGCTGAGGCCACGCAGTCTGCTGAAAGTTGGTCCAGCACCTCAGACACAGAATGCCCAGAATCACTGGTGAGTCAATACAG